AGTGAGCGATTTCAATTGTATTTTCTTAGAAATTTTCAGCAATTTTGTGAATTTCATATGTAATCAGTTTCGGTCGTGAATTTGATTTTTGAATTGTTTTTCGGTGTCATTCAACTTCTCAGTCATTTATTGGTTGTGTTGTTTCATTTTCCTTTACGATTTTTTTTTGCAGAGGAACATCTGATCAATTTTTTGTCGGTTCTGTGCGATATTCTATCGAATTTGACAAAATTCGATGAGATTTTTGTGAGTGATCTGATGATGTTGGCGAGTGATATCACAGTGATCGTGCAGAAATTATTGGTTAGGGACGGGCGATTATCAGTGGCGCAGTTGGCTGATATATTCTCGTTCATATTCACGGTAGATAAGCGTGTCAATGATTGCGTGTAAGTTTTAGTTTTTTTTTTTAATCAGTTGCTAGGATTTGTAAGTGAAATCGAGAAGAATTATAATTTTTTTTTCGGTAATATTTCGGATTCGTTAAGGAATTGAGAACTTGTTCTAATGCAGATTATTTTGATATGTTGAATCGATTTGTAATGACAGTAGGTTTAATGTCTGTTCACTGATTGTAAATGAAATTTATTTGGAGAGTTCAGTCGAAAATTGTATCTATTTGTGTTTATGGATGATTTCATTGATTATTGACGTATTTTTATTGCTTAAAAATTTTCATTGTTTCAGTGTTTTGGGACGAGAAATAATCCGAATAATATGTGATGCTAAAGAGAAATTTGTTGGTGAAGAGGTGAGTGGNTGATAATTTCGGCTGTCAAAAAAGCGAGAAACGGAGAAATCGTTCTAGCGGAAATCACCCCACAACCTGACGAACTTTTTAAGGTGTTAACGATTGTCATCATTTAACTCATTTACATACAATTGGTCTGGTGTCAGTAATCTAACGAGTAAATTTACTCGAATGTAATAATGTGATGAAGTTGATTCATCTAAATATGCCTACTATTAGATGCAACAATAGGTTTTGTCATTCACTCGCTAAGACTCTATGAAATTGAAATCAGGTAAAAAGTTTGAGCAAAATGTTGTTAATATTTGGTGAAATTGGAATTGAATTACAGGTGATTCAAACGATATCATCAGTGAAATCGAACGGTGACGGAATACTTTTATCGTTGATTGCGTTGATATCGACTTTGATCGAATGTAACGAGAGTGAACAGGGCAAATGGCTCGCCTTCTTATCAATGCCGTGGCTCACGGTACTTTTTGGATGTTCATTTTTATAATTTGTCTTATGCATATCGTTTTTGTTAAAGTCATTAATTCTATTGTCGTTAATATTATTTGATTATTGTGATAGATAATAAAATTAATGATTATAACTTTAGTAATGAATTGTAATTAGTATTATAGTTTTACAATTGTTGTAATTTTTATCTGATTTTTTAAAGTTATTGTATNATTGCAACTTAATGGCTGTATTCATTGTTGAGAATTTGGTGTATTGTGAAATAATATTTTGAATTTTGAGCGTTGGAAGTGAAAATGAGCACAATAGCGGCGATTGCTCGGATGAGTTACGCATCGGAATGGCGTCGAATCATCTTTACACGAGCACTCGAGAGCTCTGATACGAAACTGCAACGAACCGCTCTGGAGCATTTTGCGAATTTCGTTCATTCGATTGGTTGGTGTTGAAATTATTTTATGTGGATATTTTGAATTCTGAGAAGAAAAATCTTTTGAATGTTGTCGAAATCGCATGGAATATACGTGAATTGTGTACTAAGTGCATCTGAGTTTATATCGAAAGTAATGAAAACTGTACTGAAGATGTCATTTGTTAATGTTTTAATTGATTGGAGATATTTTAGAAAATTTCATTGATCATTTACCCATTTAAGAACTTGAGGATACCCTCTATGTTGTTGTGGCGATCCTAGCAACAGAATGTTCTTGATTAGAAGATAGAAAATATATGGATTTGGGTTGAAGTTTGCGAATTATTCTGGTTATCTTCAGATATCTATGCGTTTGGTCATCTTCTCGATCGAATTCTTTTCATAGCAAATTCGGCCACTCAATTGTCATCTGCACACGGCGCTGATATATGTGCCACTGTATTGAAGGTGAGTTCAATTTTTGGTTTATAGCTTCATGGCGATTCGTTTTCAGTTTATATTCATAATAAGATGTAATTCTTTTATGAATACTTTCTTATGTAATGTGTAGAAGTATATGAATAATCTCCACTGAAAATTTTGTATTTCTCACATATATAGTAATGCATAAAACTATATCGTGTTGATTGATTGAAAGAGTATTGTAACAGTTATTAGAAATGCGTTGGATTCAGGCAATCGCGAATTCGTTGTGTACGTTGGATACAAAGGTAATGTTGTCGGAGAATGATCTTTGCGCTGTATGTTCTCAGAGAGTTGTAACCAAACATAAACTTCAAGTGGACCTCTCGAAACTGTTTTGTTTACTGGAGACGGTGATCTGTCATAATGATAAGGAACTCCGACTTGGTGAGTTTATCATTTCACTGGATTAATTTTATGTTCGTTGATATTGTTTTGTTAGTAATATAGTTATTTTTGTTATTGTTATCATTATTACTTGAATGGCTTTGATATATTGTTCGATTTCGAGCAGAATTTTTTACAATACGAATAGGATTGGAACCTGCAAGTAATATGCCAATTCATTTAGTGTCTCGAGGTCTGATAGGTCAGCAGTTGGGCTTGTATTTTTTACTTATACTTTATTGTCTGTGATAAGTGTGTCTTATTTTTCAGCGTGTTGTGCAGTTTTACAATCAGCATTGAAGCATGTATCGTTCAAGTCAAAAGCCGTACTT